GCGGCTTCACATGTGGGTTAGTGGCGTAGTCTACGTCATCGGGGGGCGGGGCCTGCAGCCCCGGGGGCGCGCTCCGAGACGTGCACGACGACGTGGGCTTGCCCGGCGTGTGCGGCTGCCCCAGGCAGGCGGGGTCGGCCGCCAGAGGCGAACCTGGCGCCGCCGAGCCTGGCACCTGGTGGTAGCCATGGGGGTCGGTGCCCCCCGGGGGCAGGGCGGGGGCCTTGGCGTTGAGAATGGAGAATTCCTGCAGCCACTGCAGGCTGGTCAGGCTGTCGTCCAGGGCGTCGGGCTCCTCCAGGCCGCCCTCCGACCCGGCCTCCTCCGCCACCCCTGCTCCTGAGAGACGTAACCAGCTCTCCGCCATGTCTGTGGGGGCTCTTCAAGGGGGCGGTCAACATCCACGGACTAAGCCAAGGGTGGCCCGCCGCGTTCTCCGGCCCGCTGACTCCCGCGGCTCCGGTTACACAGCCTCCTGGACGCGCACTTCCATCTTGCGACCTGGGGGTCGCCTCCTCCGAATACGAATGTGGTGCCTGCGGGGACCGCAACGGGGGCTGAGCACCCTTCCCCCGCCCCCGAGGGGAGAGTGTGTGCGAGGGGGGAGGCTCCTCTAAAATCGTCCCCGCAAGCTGGAGAGGATCTTTTAGTGCCAAGGTCTGGGAAACAGAAGTAGTGCCCGACCCTCACAAGGTCCGTCTCGCTCTTCTTTTCCTCTTCGAGATTTCAGAGGAGACTTTATTAGCCAAATGAGGAAAGAGGTAGGGGCATCCGAGGCTATCCCCTTCTTCCCAAGAGCGGGAAATCAGACCCCCCCCCTTCCTGCAACAAGTGGAAGTGAGGCGAGGGAGCCCGGGAGGGCAGTACGACGGGGCAGGGGGCCTGGGGAGGTCGTCTGATCTTTGAAAAGGGATGTTAGGATGGGGGATCACGGGAAGGAAGGGAACAGGACAGAGTTACGGGGGGCGGGAAGTGAGTGTCCCCCAAACTCCTCAGATGTCAGTCCCCCGGCCCACCACTTCCTTCAGGAACAGATGGGAGAGCGGGCTGGTACCAACGCTCTCCCTTCCCGCGTCCCGCAGCCCTTTCCGTCCCTTACCTGGCTCAGAGCGCAACCTGGGCCAAAGGAAGGTTCTGGAAGAAGTTCCTCCCACCCCCTGCGGCTCTCTGCCTCCAGCTCGAGGGCCCGCTAGTGCCCCTCGTCGCCCCCCGAACCGGACGGCGCCTCTCTGAGCGACAGCAGCCCCAGGACCGGCATTAAGTAGCCGCTCCGAAGGCTTCTCCTGCTGCTATGGCGACGCTCCGCCCCCATAAACAGCTTCCGCTGCTGCCATTGGTCAGCACGTCTCCAAGGAGACCGCGGGCTCTTGCCACTCTCTCTGGCGGTAACTCTCTTCGAACTCCCTCCTTCTGCCGGCCTCTCCCGCGCCACCCAGGGCCCTACCCGCCACCGAGTCCCGGCTCCGCGCATTCCCGCCCGAGGGCCCCGCGCAGGGCTCGGAGAAGCGCGCGGTCCGGCGCCTCCGCCAGAGGCCCCGGGCACCCGACGAGCCGTTCGCCCGGGAACCGCTCTCGCGCCCCGCCCCCTTCCCATCTGGGCTGCCTCGAGGTGCTGGCGGCTCCTGGGACGCGGCCCAGGGCGTGGGGGCCAAGGCTGGGAGCAGGCGCAGGCTCGGGAACCGTATGCTTGGGGGTTTCCTTTCCTCTCCTCTGGGCTGCGTGTGGCACTTCCTCACGTTTCTGCAGCCTTTCTCTCTCTCCCGACCCAGAGTGTGCTCTCTGGTGCCAGCAGGCAGGTATGACTCTCCGATGCCACCTGCCGCTCAGATCCGCAGAAATGGCTGCACTGACGGCAGACACACCAAGGCGGGTAGGGTAATCCGGTGTTTCCCGGTAAGCGGCTTCCTCTCCACCTCTGTCCTCACGAAGGTTCCCGGAAGCTGACATTCCAGAGGCTTCTGCAGAAGTGCTCTTTCTCCTTTCCAGATAGCTGAGGTAGCAGAGCCCATGGGTAAAACTGACCAAATTCTCCTAGTGGGGCCATTTGCCCCATTAATTTCACCAACTTTTAAGTGACAGGGACTAAGGCTAGAGGGACACGGGGGACTGTGGCCCTTCCTCCTCCCTTCCCCTGGCCTCACTCCTGCCACCAGCTTTCCTGCTCTTCAATTATTGAGGAGCTGCAGTGTTGGAAGTTCTCCGGTTTAAGGGTGAGGGTGGGGGTGAGAGCTCCATACTCAGGCCTCTGCCCAGGAGCAGGGGAGCTGGGGGTGGGAAGCTTGTGCCCAGGGGATGGCACATCAGCTTCTGCCCAGGAGCATGTCTTGCCCTACCCCTTGCCCTCTCCCATTCCTCCACCTCCAGATTCTCCTGAGGAAAAATATTAAAGAATGCCGGAGAAAGTCAGACAGAAACTTTCACAAATAAGCCAACTGTGCAGTTAACAGCTCTCCTTCCTTTGTAAACAGTTTTATTCATTTTTAAGAATCATGCAGCAATCCATAAATATTGCATCCTTGATGTCCCCACTGTAGTGTGCCCATGAGTGTACTCCAGGGAGTCACAGTGGTACACAGAGGGCACAACAGTACACACACACACTTACACACACCAGGTGTGCAGATCCTAAAGCAAAGTGAGCAACCAGCATGCCAAGATCAGGTGGACAGGACACTACCTCTCCCCAGGTTAGACGGCTTAAAGTGTGTGGGTCTGTCCCCAGGAGATTCCCCAAAGTGGGCATGAACTCTGGAGGGATGGAACTGGGTAGGGGAAGGAAAAAAGGCTCTACGAGGTGGCCAGGATCACCACACCACTCGGAGGCCATGGGAGAGCTCAGACCTGAGTATGGCAGGAAGGAGCTACAGGCTTCCAGTTAGTGTGTGCCCTCGTGTGAGAAGGCAGGCCCCATCGCATTCTCTCTGGGTCAACTGCTTACACACAATGACTGTCTCCAGATGATGGGTTCGGGCAGTAGGGTTGGCAGCTGCCCTGTTCCCTGATCAAGCTGACTGAGGACCAGCCCCTTTGGATGGGATGATGGGATGTTTCTGCTTGCCAAAGAGCTAAATGAGTACCAAGAGATGAGAGAGAGAGAGAGAGAGAGAGAGGGAGGGAGGGAGGGAGGGAGAGAGAGAGAGGGAGAGGGAGAGGGAGAGGGAGAGGGAGGGAGAGGGGGAGAGGGAGAGAGAAAAGGAACTGTCTGAGAAACAAAGAGTGAAGGGCCATTTCTAACCCAGGTATGTCTTGGTTATGGAACCAAGGTCTTGAAGAATCTTTCTGAGCCCCTTCCTGGGAGAGGACACAGACCCTCCAGAAGGGGTGAAGATAATGGCTTCCTCTTAGGGTTCCTGGCCACTGTGGGCTACTGTTTACCTGCATCTCCTTCATCTCAGGTAACACCACACTGTGACTACTACCTGCCAGGAGAGGAGGGGGGTCTGTGTGCCACCACCCCATGCTAAGGGAAGCTCCATCCCCTGGTGCTTCTGAGGCTCAAAATTCAAGGAAATCAGCAAGTGGGGTTATTGCTCAAATATTAAATATGTAAGAATGTGGGGGAAAGACAGGACATTAAGTGGAGCCCAAAACAGCAGAGTCCACTGTAGGATTTCAGAGACAGTGGACATGGAAACTCAAGACAGAAGCTTAAATTCAGGTTTGGCTCATGTCACATCTGTCAGGACAACAGGCCTCCCCCCCCCAACCCCCCAGGGCAGGACGTGAGCCACAACCACTAGTCAGTGTGAGGGTCACCACCTACCTGGCAGTGCAAAGAAGCCACACAGAAGGCGCAAAGGATCCCCTGAGCACTGGACTCTCTTTGAGGCCTTGGAAATGGCCCTGAAAAACTCTTTTAGGATGACAATTCCAAATGCTAAGACTGGCCATCATGATGGGCACAGCCTGCGGCTCTGCCATATCTCAGCCTCACAAATTGTTGTACCTAACTTTGCTTCCCAATCTCATGCTCCACTAAACAACCACCTTTTCCGAAAGTAAGTAGACAAAGCATCTATCCAAGAGCGATGTGGACTCCAACGATAACACTAGTGTTGAAAGAGGAGTAACTCCCAACATCTTACAGTCTAGCATTGCCATTTCAAGCTTTTGTTTATATGCCTCACATTGGACTGAGGTGGGGTGGGGTGGGCATATGATTTGAACAACAGTATCTCTAAATCTTTAATGAGCCTATGGAAGGCAATCCCTCCCCCTCCCCCATCAGGCTCAGCAGATCTGGAAGGCAGTGGAGGAAAACATGGGGTGGGGAGGCTCCCAGACCACTGCTGGCCCCAGCTCAGTGCCCTCCACCACATCCTTGGGGGCTCCTGGGCACCAATTTGAGGATCACTGGTCCCCCCACCTTTCAGCCTATTTCTCCAACTATTAACGAAAAGGGGTGGAGACAGGAACAATAGGGATAAGAATACCACCTGACAGGGCTGTAGGGATGAAATGTGGTAAGATCCCACAGCCCCACCACAGTACCCGGCACATAAAGGTGGTTAAAAAGGTTTTTTTGGAAATGTCACCTTAGGATGCAGTCCCGGGCCTTCATGAATGTGCCTGATCATAAATCACCCTCGTAAGGGCAATCATTTAATAGGGGGTTCTCAGATTCGGGGTCTTCTTCCTGAGCAGACCGACACACGAGGCAGAGGAGACTAGTTCTGCTACCAGAAGCAAGAACAGTTTTTTCAACCAATCTTTTTGTTGCCACTCTTTCTAGTTCTTGCGAAAGGAGCTCCTGATGCTTTTTATGTGTGTGTGCGAGGAAGATCAGCCCTGAGCTAACATTCATGCCGATCCTCCTCTTTTTGCTGAAGAAGACTGGCCCTGGGCTAACATCTGTGCCCATCTTCCTCTACTTTATATGGGACGCCGCCACAGCATGGCCTGACAAATGGTGCCTTGGTGCACACCAGGGATCCGAACCCGGGCCGCCAGCAGCGGAGCACGCACACTTAACCACTACGCCACGGGGCCGGCCCCTCCTGATGCTTTTTGAGGGAAATTCCACTTAGAGTGAAATATGGCTTTCCCTTCTCACAGGAGTCATCCCCCAACCCCACCCCAAGTTGGAGGTTTCAAATCAGTTATGATGTCCCAGAGACCTGAAAATGCCAGATGGGTGTTCGCAATGAAGCCGTGAAAACTCCAAATCATCTTGGTCTACCCACTCAGGAGAAAAAAGATGCACAAGAAACCACCAGCCTGTGGACCTTGGCTCCACCTGAAGACCAACATATGGTGGAAACATTCCAGAGAGTCTTTGCAAAGGGTCTCATGAGCCACAGTTCATTGAGTGGCTTTAGCCCACAAGGAGCAAGGAGGGTTCCAGTTCCTTCTGGGAGGGAAAGGATCAGGGTATAGAAGGAGACAAGGCTGGGAGAAGGAGCAATTGATCTCAAGGTCCAGCTCTCACATAGGTATAAAAAGTCTCCATGTGTCTTGCTGAGGATGCCCACGAGGCCAGCGGTCCAATGAGGCCAGGATGGAATGCGAGGACGGAGAGGAGCCCTGGCACAGGCTGGGCCCTCAAACGGCCAAAGGGCCCCACATACAGGGCCTGCTCTCGGGGTCCTCCAGGCTGCCAGATGATAAGCGCCGGCGCTGTGTGTTCCGACGACTGACAATGTTGTCATCGTCCTGCCAGGAACCTGGAGAAGAGAAAAGGAAGGTTATAGGAGCCAGACCTTTGGCTGGGTCCAGATGGTGATTCCAGCAGGGCAGCCCAGGAGTTCGGCAGAGAAGCCAGCAGGATCCGTGTTACCTGAAACTCCCATGCGTGTGCAAGGCACAGCGTGTGAGAAAGAGACTCAGGGGAAGTGGGTGCCAACAGGTGCAGGGACTGCTTGTGGCCCACTGGACTATGTACAGCCATGGCCACTGTGGCCCACTACCAAGAGAGACCCGCAGGATGCTCCTTGTTTTGTAAACTTACCCTACAATCCACTTTTGTATCTTTATTTGGTTTTGGGGTTTGCCTATATGTTTTGGTGGACAAGGAAAAAGAAATTGGGTCTAGCTGAGATTTTCATCAGGGCAGGAAGAAGTGGAGGGGGGTGAGAAGAGTGAGTCCATTTGGGCCCAGAGTGTTCGAGTTTGCTGTGGGAGCCAGGGTGGGCAGGAGGCGCCAGGGACAGAATGGCATCAGGGGAGGACAGTGTGATGGCTCCAGCACCCCCTCCCCTGCATCTGCTGCTCCTCATCTCTTTCCGCACCCGAGCAGCCTGCTGAGGTTTGCTATCATCTGGTGCCATCAACCCCAGGAGACTCTAGCCTGAGAGGGTTGGGGTCCCACAAATCACCCACTAAACTCATTATCCTTCCCCAAATGTGCCGCCACTCCCACATGAGGAGCACCACCTGCCTGAGCTGGAAACCCACTTTTGGCTCTGCTCTCTCCTTTGGTGCCCTGTGTCCAATCCGTCACCACCTACTGTTTGCTCACTTCCTAGACATGTCTAAATCTGTAGTCAGAAAACCAGGGCTTCACTCCCTCTTTCTAACTTACTGACTATGTGATCCCAGGCCACTTTACTGGGAGCCTGGGTTTTCCCATCCATCAAATGGGAGACGAGCACTTACCTCACAGGATTGCTGTGAGGACTAAACGAGGTAACAAGAGTGCGTGCTGAGCAGGACATCTGATTCGAGAATGTGCTTAACCACCAGCACCCCACCCCAGTCGCCCCCCCCACCCCGGCTTTATTCAGGCCAGCCTCATCTCTCCCCTGGATAGTCCTTCCAGCCCCTAGACTGGCCCCACCCAGTGAGCGAGAAGCTCCTTCTGAGAGGAAAGCAGGGCCTCAGCTGCCAACACGCTCAGGATGAAGCCCTAACTCTCAGGTTGCAGAAGGCCTTCCATCCTCCAACCCCGGGCACATCCTGAGCCACATCTCCCAGCACCCTGCCCTCACAGGCCCCCAGCCTGCTGAGGTCCAGCATGCTCCGAAGTGCTCCCCCAGCAGCCTGTGCTACCACCCCACTTCTCACACTGCTGGAAATTGCTGAATCCTCCCACTCCTCCATTAGACCGTCAGCTCCTCCCAGGCAGAGCGGAGCACGGCACTTGGCTCAATGGTGGACTTGTTCAGTGGACAGGGCCGACCAACTGTGGAGCAGGGCCTGACTCACTGCATTCGTGCTTGAGGGAGGCCACTCACAGATGTCTGGGTCAGCCTCAGGGGAGGCCAGCCCAAGACATGAAACCCTTTAATGGCAGAAACACTAGGATTAAGTGGGTATAAACTGCTTATTTCCCATAAATGTCCTGGTGTAATAATCCATCGTAAGGCTCTAATAACAGTCTGTGGAGGTGGACCCCCAGGGAAGAGAAGTGAGTGGAACAGAAAAGTCTACGGAATGTGGGAATCTATATTCCCCAGAGTACTGGGGTCTGGGACCTGGGTCAACAGTGCCTTTTCCCCTCTAAGGGTGGTACTCTAAGTGTGACAGGATGAATATGAGGCAAGATTGCCTTTTCAGTTAGGAATCCCAAAATAAAACGAATTCTTGGTTCACTCATACAATTTGGTCAATCTCATACCTATTCCTCAATGTTTATGGGGCAGGACTCCGGAACTGCGGCTGTTTGGCAGGAAAGACCAAAAGCAAATAGTAAACAAGAGAGAAGACACACACGCACAAAATAGCAACACTGCACATGCATGCACGAAATAACCGCCGCTGCCGCCAGGAAACACCGGGCCACGTGCCGTCCTGACTGAATTCCCACGAGGCCTTGCTACAAACTCCGCCATTCTAGAATCCCTAGCCAGGGCCCAAAACCGGTTCCTTCTGGACAGACTCAAGCCTCAGATCTGAAGTCTCTGTTTTCCCTGGCTTCTTGATACTCTCTGTGGGGAGGTTTTGCAGTGATTATGAGGTGCTCTTCTCCCTGCAAAGGACCCTGCTGGGCCCTCAGCAAAACCCTGCTGCTGCTCTCTGCTCACCTTGTGCAGAGGGCAGGCCTGGCTGCAGAAAGAAGCCTGGGATGCCAGGAGGGCTTCCTGAGCAAGTGCTACCATTTTCTCGGGCTCTTCAGCTAGAAAATGGAGCTTGGAGATTTAAAATCCTTCTTGGGAAAGAGATAAAGGCGCTTTCCATTCAATCCCCATTTTGGCGAAACGGAAATGGGAGCTTGAAGAGATCCCTAGAGGCAGATTTTGGGAGCACGTTTAGGGAAATTCCACACACCCCTTTCCTGCCTCTACCAAGCCACTAATTAAATTTAAGGGGTATAATAGTTTCAATTGTGGAGAAACTTAATTCGGATTCTTCTTTAGTGTTTGTGAAGCATAAACCTTCCTAGTAGCATCTTAGTCTTTGGTTACGAGGCTTGAAGAGAAAAGTGAATTGAATTTCAGGTCTCCATCAGTATTTTTAGATTTTATTGGATATGCCCACTCCTGCACAATATAGTCATTTAAAAATATATTTGTATTTCTACTAACAAACCCAAATCATCTTTGCTTTCCTCCATCATATACACTACCCAGAGGCTGTTCACAGAATTATCCCTAGACCCCTGACCACTACCCTGCTGCCTGTGTGATATTCCACCAAATTCCTTAGAACCACACCTACTCATGGTCTCACAATTCTAATCTGCTCACCACCTACACCTGTCGACTTAGATTTCCTCCCTTTGAAAACCTTTCAGAACAATCGCAGAACACACCACCCGCCTTGGTCTTGGGGCCCAAGAAGACCCAGGAGCTTCTTAGGGGAAGAGGGACTGGAATGACACAGGTACCCTCTCAGCATCACTCCCACAAGTGTGACGAGACTGGTGAGGATGGGCACCTGCCTGGTGCTTGCCACCAGCTGGGTCTCTAGGCAGAACACGCGTGAGCATGGGGAGGGTGGAGTGCGCACAAGGAGAGCATGGGATGCTCCCCTGGGCTCCGCTTCTCATCAGCCCTCCGAGAAGGGAGTGGCATTCGCTCGGAGAGGGAACCAGACTCAAGCAGAAACCAAGTGCCTGAGAAGCTGACCTGATGGCGCAGGAACATGAGGAGCCAAGCCAGCCCGGAGGGATCTCAGTTGTAGGATGGAAGTTTGAACTTAACAGCTGAGCATGAAGAGGCCTATTTATTCCACAGGACCTACCAAAGTGGACACTCCTGTCATTAACCCAACAGATGCTTCCAGAGAGTTCCCCAGCACTTTACTACAAGTGTGATGCTAACAGCAGAACTAGAGAGACCTTTTACCAAGAGAACAGATGTGCTTTCCCTCTCCCGCAGGAGCCCAAGAGACACAATGGGACACCCAAGCGCCTATACCTGAGTCCCTCTCCTGACAGCCGTCACAGGCATTTGGTTTCATGTCTGGCCTGAACTGTGAACCCAGTTTAATCTCAGAACGGCTGGCTCCTGAGATGACCATAAGGGACCCCAGGGGTTCTTTCTTCCTTCCAGATCTCTCTCCTCTCCCGAAATGCTGTAAGTGGGATAAAAATCAACAAGCAGGTTGGCCAGAGGGAGTTAGGAAGAGGAGGAAGCAGAAGGAATAAGGTCCATTTCTACCAGCACGGTGGACTAGAACAATTCCCAGCAGCTCCCTCTGCCAAAAAATGGAGGTGCGTGAGGGAGGCTGGAACCTAGATTTCCCTCCTGAAGCCCCGTGAGAGGACAGCCAGCATAGCTGCCACAGACCCCAGGTGGAGTGAGGGCAGAGATGTCATCTTCCCTAACTAGTGACCAAGGACACCAGTTCAAAACAAATCCTTCCCATAACGCTTGCTGCAGAAGCATCCACATTTTCGATGGTCTGCGGACCAGGAATTAATATATTCTCACAAATATTTTTTCTCAGAAAATCTTAGGATTTGGAATACAAGCCCTTGCCAATTAGGAATGGAAACCTCAGTGGGAGCCTCTCGGATGTGCGCACGCCCAGCAAGTTTGGTGTCGGGCACAGCATAGCCAGGGAGGACAGTGTTGGCACGGAGTGAACGTGAACTTGCACACCACGTCTAGATAACATAAATGAGTTTCAAAATAAACACACCAGACAGACAGATTTATGTTTGGCAAAAAGACGTGAAAAACAAATGGACAGACAGAAGCAAGGTGAGGAGGAGGAAGGCAGGAAGTGAAGCGTGCCCTGACCCCATAGCTCCGGTCCAGACATGACCCGGTCAACGCCAAACGGAAATGACCGGAGAGCCCTTGGGAAGGCTGGAGGAGCATCTCTCGAGACTTATGGCTTCCCCTGCCACAGCCTGTGCGGGGCCAGGGCGTGAGGACCCGCGTCTCTCACAGGCTGACCGAGAGTGACACCACAGGAGACTGTGTCACTCCAATGCTCTCGCCACTTCGCTGAGCGAGTAAAGCACTGGACCTGTGACGTGATGTGGCTGTTCTGAAGGTGAAATGTGTCTTCATTTCAGGGGAGGTTGAAGAGATTACAAACCACACGATGTGAAGGACTATCTCTGCCGTGAAACCAGGAGGGGCGACTTTGACCTAGTCCACTTGGGTAAGACTTGGCTCGAGAGAAGCGGTTCGTGGAGCCCTTGAATGAGCACTTAGAGTAAAGGAGGTCAGTGCTCAAAAGTGTGATTAACACAGTTCCTTTCTAAGAAGTCATCCCAGATTCAGGTTAGTGTCATGAGAAGGCATAAGGGGCACACTGATAGCCCTGATCAAATTTAAAGTTAGGGTTCCGGGGAGCACAGTCACCCTCAACCCCTGACCTCTCCTTTGGGATCCAAATCTAGTAAGTTAATGCAGCTGGTAACCCAAAGCTCATGGATCCCAGAGCCATTTGCTAGTCTATTCAACATCGGCCTTCAGATTCCTCTCTGATCCTAACTAAGCACATTCCTCTGAGGAGCTATGGATTCCCTTTTCAAGGGCCAGGCTATCATTCCAAGACCTCTGTAGAGAGGTGGTGTCTGCCTCAAACTTCCTGTTGATGAAAACAAGACCAGGCCACCTGCCATGGGATCTGCAAGATCGTGATGGCGGGGGGCTGGGTCAGGCCAAATCAGGAGTGGAATTTTTGCTCCTCTCTTCCTGTCCCAACATTCTCACTCAGGGCAGGGGTTGCTCTTTGCAGAAAGCTCAAGGACTCTCCCAAGGCCGCCTCGCTTCCTCTCAGCAACTGGTTTCCAGCATCTTAGCACAGCCCATGCCTTCTTGCAGGAACTGCAGGGCAGGAGATGGGTGTTCCAGGGTGAGAGCAGGAGTGTCCCCCACCAAGTTCATGTTCAGCAAACTGCCACTCACCAGGTAAGCAGACCTCAGAGCACAGCTTATTGTCCAGTGCTTTCACGCTTGCGATGTCAAAGCCATTGTTATTGTCACACTCCATACCTAGAAATGCGCATGTCCTCTGGCCTGCAACGGAGTTAATGCAGTTAGAGAGGGGCTGGCTTCTCTGCTTTGTTGTCTTTAAAATAAAAATCTTAAGGATGGAGACAAAAAAATAAAATCATATGTAAAAAAAAGACAATAATTAAGTGGGTAAAGAGTGGACAATAAAGGAATCAAATTGCGTGGGCATGTTTGTGTTCTCCTGCTATCCTGCTGGCTCCCTAATTGGCCCCTTTCCAGCCATTGTTCCTTACTAAGGCAGAGCCCTGGGGGGGCTGCGGGTCACAGGCTCCACGGAGAAGCCGACCCAGAGCAGAGCAACGCGAGCCGCAAGGCTGACGGGGAGCGTGGCTGGGAAGAAGCCAGGGAGCCACTGTGAGGTTACCCTGCCCCTGCCTGTGTCTGCCCGTGCGTGTGGGGTACATTTATGACCAGAGGCTCTGCAAAATGAAAAATACATAAGACGACAATTAAAGGTCCTAGCTTCTATCATTGTGCATATCAAATCAAACTCACCACATTCACAAAAGTACGATTTATTTTCTTATGAGACTTAATTTGTTATTTTGAGTACGTTTTAAGAAACTGACCAGAAACCTACAGACATGTAAGAGAGGAAGGAAAGTTTGAGAAGTTATTTTTCCAAGCTCTCCCCTTTTTTCTCTTGATGAAAAGGAGAGAAGAAAACATAAATCCACCACGTGGGCTACGGAGAGTCAGGCGGAAACCACTTGCCGCCCTGCACTTTTCAGAAGCAAATTTTCTGTGGGGGAGCCATCACAAAGGGAAAGTCGGGAGCCTAGAGCACTGAAGATGTCAACTGAGTTGATGAAGCGCCCAGCTCATCTCAGGCTGGCATGCAAGAGTGTGGTGGAGGCACAGCCTTGGTGGCCGTCCCCTCCTTCAGGGCTACTTGGACAGGCGAGAGTGCTCAAGTTGCATGCACACTCCCTGAACCCCCCAAGCAACGGCCAGTCAGTGCTAAAGCAGAAGCAACTAGGATGACATCTGCATCCAGGCGGAGGCCCAAGTCTGCTTTGGAGGTGCCCTTCTGCGGGAGGCACCTCAGAGCAGCAGAGGGAAGACCCTGGTTCCCAGAACACATGGTATTCCATTCCCAGCCGGGGTTTCCCAGCCCCCCTTCTTTCTACTTCCTTGCTCTGCAGATCATCCCTTCTCTTCTAGCTTTACTTGAAACAAAATTCTTCTAACTGAAGATAGAATTGAGGCCTGAATTATGGCAAAGAAAATCATTACAGTGGCCTACAAAGCATCTGTCTATGCTGAGCTGCTAAGGTCTGCTGACCACACCTGCACTGTGCCGCTGGCTCCTCAGATCCCTCTGTTATTGTAACGTCAGCCACTTTCTGCCCTAAAGCAAAACAATACCAACTGCCCAACAGTCCTTTCACCCAACTGGAGGAAACTGTTTTGCTGCTGTTGCTAAACTTCGGGGCTGTTAGTACAGCTCTTTGGGACTCGGCTGAAAAGCTGACGCAGGCAGGAAGGTGAAGGGAGTCGCCCAAGAAGCTTCAGAATCTTTTGAATGTAAATGCAGAACTATACATATCTTCCGCAGCACCCTCATCTTGACATCCTTGGCTCTGAGGCTCACAAAGAGCTGGGAAGGCCACTGTGGTCCTTGGATACCCTGCTTGCTTCGATATTTCGTCAAGAAGACAACCTTTCTCAATAGCCACACAACTGAGTCATGCCACCAAGTCAAACCAGTGCCCTTTTCAGTACCCTTTAAAGACTCCCCGGAAAGAAACAGAGTAAGAGGGAGCAAAAGACCAGGTCTTTTACCATCTTCTTGTGCGGGTGATCCATCCTCTTCCTCTACAACATCATTTCCCTAGGAGAGAAGGAAGGCGCTATGAGTCTAAAAAGTAGTAAAATGAGTGTATCGATCTGCTGAAAGCAGAACTAATCATACTGATGGTATCTAACTCCAGGGCCTATGTCAAGAGCAGACATTTCCCATCCGTGTTTGAGGTGCCAAGGAGGCCGAGCAGAGGCAGATTTCGCTTGGTGGCTGGATCGGCCCATGGAGCCCAGTCTGAGGCATGTTACAGATGTCACTAGAAATGTCAGATTGGCTTTGGTAATAGTCTAGCTCATGCTGTTTCTCAAGGTGGAAATCAAAGTTGTCAAATGAAAGAGCAAACAGTGAGATCAGAAAACTTTCAGAAATCCCTTGGGATCCCAAAACCTATCCAGACACTCCTTTAAGAACATCTGGCTCAAGAAAAATTCTAGAGCCCTCACTGTGAGCTGGGCATTTCACGGACTTCCTGCACACCTCGGTCAGGGCACTTCTCATGCTGAATCGTAATCCTGTCTGCCCCCCTGGAGGGGGTTCTGGATGGGTGCGGTGTGGGGGGGGGAGCAGGCAGAAACAAGGTCACTCAGGTCTTTATGGTCCCCAGCACCAGGAGGCGCCGGTGACACAGTCAACCTGTGTGAATATTCACCTCTAGAACTCACTCACGCCTATTACACTGAGACCAGCACCCTCTGCTCATCAGTCACCCGACCGGAGCGGGCAGCTGCACTTCCCTCGACATCACACCCCACTTCTAACTGATCCAAGCGCACCATCTTGGAAGGCTTCTTCCAGGACAGCCCCCATCGTGTTTGCACCCCCAGCCAGCGCAGAGGAAAGAAATAGAGTAAGAGTCCCTCTGACTGGGATGGAGCACTGCCGTCCATGTCGGTGTTACCTCTGCATCCTGCCCTTCAGCGAGGCTGACAGAGTTGCTGTCTGGGGATGCTGCTGGCATCATCTGCAAAAGAGCAACAAAAATGAAAGTGCAAACACCCCAGTTCCCCCACCAGCTCTCTGGCAGTCCCCAGGACAGAGGTGACGCCCAAGAGTCAGATCTGCAGGAGTCTCTGTTTCAACTACCTGGTACCCTGTTTTCCATGGCGCTCCTTCCGAGCACCTTAGGGACATGTGCAGAGCACAGAGCTGCAAGGAGGGTCCGTGCTCCTCCCTTACCTCTCCTTCCTCTGAGGGGGCCCTGCTGGCGGCCTGGGGGGAAGGGAGAGCCTCGCCCTCCTCTTCGGTGCCCGGGGCGATGTAGGAGCCGGACATGGAGGAGACGGTGTCAGTGCTTATCTGGGAGTGCTGGCTCTGGGAGGACACCATGGACATGACCGACTGGGCCAGACTGCTGCTCGCAGGGTCTGTGGAGACAGGAATGGAAGGAAGGAGATGGGAGGTCAGGCGTGGTTTCTGTGAGCTGAATGAGGAGCAGATCTCCCTCCCTGTCTTGGGCCGTGAGGACTACAGTGCCTTACCTTGCCCCCACCTAAGAAGGGTTCAGATTTAAGGTTTTCCACGGTTCTGCTCCTTTACATTTTAGAGCTCAGAACTCAACTCAGGGACTGGGGATTTGCTTTTCCCTGTCATAATGGTAAAGGAAAACCTTATGAGGGCAGGACTGGCAGTAAGATAACTGATGTTCCCCCATCTCATCGTAGGAGAGCAAGTCCCCCTCCCTCGCCTGTGGGGTCCTCTGTAGTCACGCAGCTCAGGTATTAACTAGCTGCCCCCAAGTCTGTCCGGGAGGAGCTATTAGGAGGCTGAGGGGGAAGAACATGCAGCTACTCCCTGCTCCCTCATGTACCTTCTGGGGAAGAAATTGTGGAAGAGAGAGGCGTCCCTGTGCAAGACGACTGGTCAATAGCTCCTGACGACGACAGGGTAAGATTCTCACTTTCTGGAGTTACACCACATTCCTGGGGGGAAATGGAGTTAAGTGCAAGTCAAGCATGCTGGAGGAGGGTGTAGGGGCAGGGAGCTGGGAAAGGAGGAGGATGGGATGCTGGGAGGGACTGAGGTCCTCCACAGTCAGTAAGTAACATGCAGACGCAGGGCTGGTTTCTCTTTTGTCATCGCTTCTCTTCAGCCCTGACCTGGAATGGCTGTCTCCCAGGGGAGGTGCAAACTTCAGTCAGCACATCCTGCCTGAGGCATAGCACCTGCTGGGGCCACACAAAGACTGCAGCTCAGGTGACACAGGTCACCCAGCAGCTGTGACATGGGAACACCCCAGGTTTCCCCAGGATTATAAACAGCTTTCCTTCTAAAGGAAAAGAACACAAAACCAGCAGAGGCCTCACTGCCTGCTGGGCATCTCCACTTGGATGTCGGGTCAGTTCCAGCTCAATGGATCTAACACAAACACCAGCTTTGCCCCCCAACCCACTCCTGACACCCCACCTATCAGTCACCTGGGCACGCAACCTCACCCCATCCCAGGCAGATTCTATCTCCGCCACCCTTCTCTCTTCTCCAGGCGTCCTCGTTTATCTCAGGTCAGGCCCTCCTGCCCGGGCCACTGGAGCAGCTCCTGGCTCAGTCTGTCCCCCGTCTACCAGTCTACACACTGCCGTCAGGGGGCCTCTGGGAAGCAGAGCTCTCCTGCTACCACTGGCCTGCTCAGAGCCCTGACTTCCTGCTCCGTGCCTTTGCACATCCTGTTCCCTCCACCTGGAGCATGTCTCTCGCCTTTCTCTTCATGTCTAACAGATTTCAAGATTCAGCTCAAATGCCACTCCTCCAGCACACTTTCTCTGGTTTCCTCCACTTTCACACCTCTGCCACAGCACTTCATTGTTTGAGGCGCACTTATTCTCTATAGTTACGATTCATTCATTCGTTCAACAAATACTTGCAAAGCAACAGATATGTGCTGTGATTCATGTACATGCCTCGTCCCCACCTAGACCTGATCTCCTAAGGACAGGCAGCACTTTATCATCCTTGTATGCCCCACTGTCCCTAGCTCCTCACCTCACTGAGAGCAGGTGTAATAGCCTCTGTTAAATGAAGTCGGCGAGGGGCACAGGGTAGAAAATCCCATCGTCTCCTACCCCGCCGCCCTGGCCTTCCAGCACGTCCCCGTCAGGGTTTTTCCACCTGCCATTCCCATGCCTACAACCCTCTTTTCTCAGATGTCTGTGGAGCTCGCTCCCTCACCTCCTTCAGTCTCTGTTCATGGACACCTTTTTTTCTTTTTTCTTTTGCTGAGGAAGATTCACCCTGAGCTAACATCTGTGCCAGTCTTCCTCTATTTTGTATGTGGGTTGCCGCCACAGCGTGGCCGCTGCTGAGTGGTGTAGGTCTGTGCCTAGGAACCGAGCCCAGGCCGCCGAAGTGGAGCGCACCCAACTTAACCACTACGCCATGGGGTCGGCCCCCAGTGGACCACTTTTTGAAGATAGCAGCCCCACCTGCAGCCTCACCACTCCCTTCTCCCTCATCTGACATACTGACCCACAGTTCCATCAGACACACGGCTTTCCTACTCATGGTCCTTGGTGTCCACTCCCACCCCAACATCAAGAACATAAGCGCCAGGAGGGCAGGACTTCGGTAGTGTCCTCACTGTTCCTTTCCTCAGCATATGGAATAGTGCCTGGTAAACAGCACAGGCTCAGGACATTGTGGAGAGAATAAACCCAATGACACCTTCGCTGCTATCTCAGAGAGTGTCCAAAGGTGTTTGATGAATGAATGAAGGCAGATGGACGTGAAGAGGCATGGGGATAGGAGGAAAGTATCTGAGGTCCAACATCCAAGAAAGGGAGGAGAATACAAGTTACCTCTCCAAGCTGCTGAGCCGAGGGCCTCTGAGAGAGCTGTGTTTCAGATTCACTGCAAGAACGCTCATCTTCTTCTTCATGCAACACAGAAGAATTTTGGGAAATGGATCTGGAAAAGTCCAGAGGGAAAAGCAGCTGCAGGCCACATCCCTGTAAAGACTGGACCTTGCCTGCCTCTCATTAAGCAGACTTGACAGGGAGAAGAGGACTTGAGGGGAAGGGAAACCCAGAGGGTAAGGATCAGGGAGGTGAGAGAGAGTGCCAGGGAGGGGCTGAGACCTCTTCTAGGCATCAGAAAATCTGAGTTTACCTTTAGCTCCTTCAATAACTTGTGTTTGAACTTGGGAAAAACCACTGACACCTTTAGGGTTTCAATATTTTCATCTATAAAATACCCTCCTTTACTCTGCCACAGAAAGCTTATCATGACTCGTGCCTCGTTGGATTTAAATGTGTAAGAGATACAGATCACAAGGATCCTTCAGTCTTCAGACTAAGCAACGCTCCCCAGGGGCCTGAATGACCCTAATGATGTCATCTTCCCTGTACCCCATCCCCTCCCCCCAGAAACAGAACACATAAGAGATCTGTCTGTCTGGATCCTCCTAAGTACCCATATGCCATCTTGTCATCATCTCCTAAAGAAAGGGATAACCTTTCCCCCAACTGTTAGCCCCAGGTCGTCAGTGAAAGGACAAGCTCTGGGAACAGCCCAGAGGGCGACACTGCCCTGGGGATGCAAGACAAGGGCCAGCACTGAGGAAGTAAAACATGGATGAGAGCATCTCATCAAGGACCCCACGGGCAACATTGTTGAGAGCCAGCTACTCACTTGGAGAGACTCTTTTTGAGTTTGAGTCCTTGGCTGCTGCAGTCAGACAGGCGGTCGAGAGGGGAGAGGGTCCTGACAGGGGGCAGGTGGCCATCGCTGCCATAGGAGGGCAGCATTCCTGAGAGGTGGCCGTCTCCAAGCACGTGGAGTGGAGGGACCACGGGGGACGGGGTGAGGGGCCCGTTGAGGGCCTCCAGAAGAGATACCACTTCATAGCCCGGTGGAATGTTCTCTGAGGACTAGGGGAATCAGATACAGGTTGGAAAATTAATTAAATGTTCTTCATTTTATGGTATGATTGTGTTTCCTACTCTATATGGGAAAAACGTTTTCTTTTACATCCAGTCTGGGGGTCTGGCAAGAAAAGCTTCTGTACTAGAGGCAGGAGAAAGATAAAATGTCAAAGAGCCACACATTCCTAGATTCTGTTTATAGATGAACTTCTTCTTAATAATGTTAATTTTTTTCTGATAATAATAGAAATATATGTTCATTATAGGAAATTTGGAAAATACATAAAAGTAGAAAGAAGGGAAAAAATTCATCAATAATCAAATCATCCAAAGTAATAACTTTTGTTGGCATTCTGGTATATTTTTTCCAATTTTTTCCCCTTGTACTATTTACACAGTTATGATCAATCTGTAAATAACAATTTTATATCCTGTTTATTTCACCAAACACAAATATTTTCCTTCATCTGCGTCCCCTTTTCAGAGATCCTATAAGTGTACTAACTGTTCTACTGGTTCTGGGTACTTGGTGGTGTCCAACGTTTTCTACTGTAAACAACACTTCAATGAACATCCTTGTGCATAAATCTCTTTTGTTCTTGGCATTAAATTCTAAGACCTTAGATTACCAGGTGTAAATGCTTTTAAGGCTCTTGATATATACAGCCATTGTTTTTTCAATGATCTTTCAATGGTCTTACTCCTATAAGCAGTAGAGAATACCTATTTGAATTGCTTCTCTGCCAGCACAGAGTATCTTTAAAAAAGAAAGTTTTTAAATTTGCAAGGTGAAAAATGGTATCTCATTTTAATTTGCATAGTGTTTATTTTTAACATGGCTGACTTTATATTTTATTTTACTTTTTGACAAAGATTGGCCCTGAGCTAATGTCTGTTGCCAATCTTCCTCTTTTTCTTTTTTTTCTCCCCAAAGCCCCAGTACATCGTTGTATATCCTCGTTGTAGGTCCTCCTAGTTCTTCTACGTGGGATGCCGCCTCAGCGTGTCTTGATGAGCTGTGAGTAGGTCCGCGATCGGCAACCCCTGGGCCACCGAAGCAGGATGTGAGAACTTAACCACTGCACCACTGGGCCAGCCCCGGTTGACGTTTTAAAAAATGATTGTTGGGCCGGCCCCATGGCTTAGCGGTTAAGTGTGCGCGCTTCGCTACCGGCGGCCCGGGTTTGGATCCCGGGCGCGCACCAATGCACCGCTTCTCCGGCCATGCTGAGGCCGCGTCCCACATACAGCAACTAGAAGGATCTGCAACTATGACATACAACTCTCTACTGGGGCTTTGGGGGGAAAAAAAAAAAGGAGGAGGATTGGCAATAGATGTTAGCTCAGAGCCGGTCTTCCTCAGCGAAAAGAGGAGGATTAGCACAGATGTTAGCTCAGGGCTGATCTTTCTCACACACACACAAAAAAAATGATTGTTAACCAGCTATGTTTCCTCTTCTTAGAATTTTTTTTTATATCCTTTGCCCATTTATCTACTGTTTTATTCATATGAGCTATGGCAAAAATATTAGCCTTTCCTCTGATATAAATGTTGCGAATACACCTTTTTTCTTTAAAGGATTTGTTGTTTGCCTTTTAATTGTGGTCATCTTTTACACATCTGAAGTTTTAAGTTTTTTATGTGGTAAAATCTACACATTCTTTTTTTTTGTAGTGTTCCATTGCTTTTAAGCTTAGAGAGTCCTCTCTCATCCAAAGTCAGCTACAGAATTATCTATAATTAATTCTAGGTTTTTAATGTTTGGTTTGCTTGGTTTTTAACATAGTTAACTAGTTACTCCATCTGTAATTCATTTGTTATCTGGTAAGGAGTAAAGTGCTGAACTGATTTTTCCTCCCTAAATAGCTAACTAATTATCCCAATACCATTTACTGAGGAATAAATCTCTCCCACTCAACTGTTAGTGTACAGAAAGTCAATATCTGCTTGTCTATAACTACAAAGCTTCAAGGCTTGACATTCACACTATGAACAACCCAGGTGAATTATTTCATCCTAGTCACTGAAGCCATGAAATGGGATAAAGAAAAACAGTTACCTTCTTCAGGGATTCAGATAAAGATAGTAAATTGTACTCAAATCCAAAACAATCATCCCCTTGTTTCTGCTTGAGGGAGTTCCAGAGTGGACTCCCTGGAGTGACACTGCAAGCAGACAGCTCTAGGAATGGTAACTGTTAACTGGACACCAAGTTCTCAAGGCAGAAGAGGGAGGTTTTAAGGATCTGCTTCCAATTTTCCGTTGCAATATTGGCTAGTTTTAAAACAAACATAATCTCGGGCAGCCTACTAAATACTTCAGTGCGCCAAGGTCTAATAACTTGCTGCAAAGTCATGTAAAGAAGGACAAAAGGTGAAAAAAGCCAGCAAGGAGACTCTAGAGCATTTGCTTCACGGGCGGCCGTGGTTCCGAGCCCAACTTACTGAATGCTCTTCCGAGTCAGACGTCTGGGAGGAGATGATGGGGTTAAAGCTGGCTGGGGACAGTGGGCCCAATTTTTTCCTCATGGCTCGGATCTGAAGCAGTGCCCGGAAGGCTGTGAAGAAGAAAAGACACAATCAGGACATCCTGACGCAGGAGTCAGGATGAACAAGAGCCCAGAGGGAAACCACGATCCCTCCTCCCAGCATTCATCAGTTTGCAGCCCCAGCAGGGTCCACCCACCACTCGCCCGGCTCTGGGGCTTACGCAGTCGGCAGATGGGGCAGTTGTTGGCCTGGTAGCGCAGAGTGTCCGCACAGGTGTTACACAGGCAGAGGTGGCGACAGGGCAGGATCAAGGTGTCCCGGACATCTGAGAGACACACCACACACTCGGCACTGTTATCGCTCACTTCATCCTCAGTCACCTGGCCGGGGAGACAGAAATTTAGCCAATGACACAAAGATCTTCATGTCCCCTACTTTCTTTACAAGGCAGCTTGCCTGAAGGGCTGAGACAAGTCATAAGAACAAATCTGACATTTTCACTGGACTTTACAGTTTACCTGGTGCATTCACACACTCAGTTTCACCTGTACTGGGAGTTGTTTATCTCCAGCTCATCCTATGAGCTCAGCCCTGGTCCTCTGGGACAGTCTGAGCTGAAGCGGCCCAGGAGACCATGCAGGGAAGGGAGAGGGCAATGCAAGCACCCTGCCAGGAAACTGAGTGAACAGGGCTCTGCAGAAGAATGAATCTAAACCCACCAATTTTTTTCATTTCCAAAGTGATATAAATATAATCATCTGAATTGAGGAACCAGAAAATACCCTTCTAGGACCAAACTGATTCCAGAGTTTGGCACGCTAAATTCCTACATCCTGGCTTTATCAGAGAATTCCTCACTCTGCCTTGTGGGAAGACTACATTCAGATCTTTGGGTAGAACTTGCCTTCGAATCTTGGGTGTTGTACTTGTTTTCAATTCCGTAGATCTCCTGAAGGAGGTAGCTGACCCCATCTACCTGAAGAGCAAATACACAAGTTCAAGGGCAGGATGACTCTGCTGAGAGATAAGAGTGGGAACTCACCCCCCACCCTCTTCGGTAACCAAGGACAACCGATGCACAATGAAAAAAAGCAAAAGCCGAAACGAGTAAAGGATGCTTTTATTTACTTCTGTTTTCTCTTTGAGAGGGGAAAGAAAATCAAACGTTTAATTCACCCACCATTATTCACATTATTCACCCACCCAGCAGGGAACATAAAAGCCCACAAATACAACAATAATCCTTGTACTGCAGCTTACTCTTATGGACAGCTGAGAAACGCACAGGCTAGAAAAAGGACGGAAGAACATGCATCAAAATAGAAGCATTAGCTGTGTAATGAAAGTTAAGTTTAGACATTATAAACATAAGGACTGGGAAAGAGAAAGAAAGAGAGAGGAGAAGAAATGGGCAAGGAGAAGAGAGGAAGGGAAAAATGTAGAAGCGAATTGCTAGCAAGGCCTTGAAGGAGGGGCCAACTGGGCCCCTCCCCTGCCTCCAGCACGCAGTAGAATTACCCTCTTGGTCCCGTTTCTTAAAACCCCAACTTCAATGCCCAGTTTCCACTAGCCTGGGTTGGGTCAGTGCCAAAGCTGGCTACCCCTGTGTCTTTCCTCCAGCCCACTTCTCTCCTCTGCCTCGCCTCTGTCCCAGTGATCCCCTCCCCTAAGACCTAGCCTGTCACTGATTTCATCTGTCACTGATTTCATATTTCACTTTCAAGTTTGACAAAGTCTGTTGCTAATGCCAATCTAGTAACAGGAAAATAGAGAACCCATTTCTCAAATAGAGGCAACTCACTGAGCCCTGGCCTTTCCAGGCAGTACCCAGGGCTCAGGATCTTTTTCCTCCTCTGCCTCTCTTAAAACTTGTTTTAACCTAGTGATTATATTGGAAAGGACATTATCGACAAATTTATGCTAAGATATTATTGACTACAATTGACCTCATTAATGGGGAGAGCACTTAACCCAAAAGAACGAATAATGTAGAATTTCAGGTATCTATCACCCACCGGTAGCGGGGCCTGCCAATGCCACTGGCACCACTCTCCCCTGCTCACCCTCCACGACTCTCCTCCTACCTCTGCAAGAGTGCAAAGAAAGCGCTGGCACACAGCGGGGGTTAGGAATTCTAACAGACATATGCATACCTTGCTGATCACTCTGGAAGGGGGCAGATGGCCAGCAAACTGAATTTTAGGAAAGCAACGGTGGGATAAATTCAGCAAAGGCTCTAGCTGGCCCTGAATTGGACCCCAATACTTTATCCTTTAGCTTGAAATGTTTCTCACCCTGGCATTTTAAAGAAAAAGAGTTCTCCCTAAACCTAATGTCAGAAGACAAATCTTGTCCTTTCATTTCTTAAGTCCTTTGCTCAGATAATGGCTGCCTCAACACCAACAATTCTGGAACAATAAAGACACCAAAAATCAGTATTTCTTTCAGGCCACCCAAGCAGTTTCTAACACATAAAAGCACTCCTTTTTTTTTCTTTTCTTCTTTGATTAAAAAAGGGGGTGGGAGGGAAAGAAGAGTGCTTAGCAAAAGAGTAAAAAAACCACCACAACAACAAAAAGAGCGAAAGTAAGAAAGAAGGGGCCACACCAAGAGTCCCTGGCCCTCAAATACTTACGACTTGTTTCTGTTTGAGGGGCTTGACACAGAAGGTTCCATCTGTGTGCTGCAATGAAAATATGACAGTTATGACAAGGCAGTAGGGCAATAAAACACCAGATGTTCTTTTGTTACTTCTCTCAATTATGCGTGTTCTTGGACACCAGAGTGGACTTACAGACTCCCAACACGGGAGGGGCCTTCCAAGCACCTGGTCCACCCCTTCCATTTTAAGAAGAGGAAACGAGGACTAAGGGTTGAAGGTCATGCAGCAAGGTGGTGGCAGAGCTGGAACTAGAGCCCAGTGTAGCCCCCGGGGGTGCTCCTTCAACTCCCCCACAGCCTCCTAAGCCAGACCCATTCTGCTGAGCTCAGGCAGCCAGCAGACAAGGAGGACACGTGTCCTTGCAGGAACGAAAGAGTTAGACATAATGATAAAGTGAGGCCCTATTAGGTTACTCACTTACCTTTTCAAAAGTGCCCAGCAGTACATGGCAATGGCCAAAATACTCTGAAAGAAATGAAGGCACATGGATGAAGAAGAAGAAAGCCAAACAGTACACTTCGATGCCTATGGACCTTCCCAGAGTCTCTGCAATCTGGCAAACCAAACGTTCTGGGCTGTCACGGGAAGGGCCCATTATAGAACCCAAGGAGCTTGGGGACACCAGTGTGGGGGATGTAGAAACTGCCTGCCTGATACCCACAGAAAGGGCGTGTTGTTCCCAGGCCACAGCTGCTGCCAGGCCCGTGTGCCTCAAAAGGGCAGTGTGTGCAGCAAGAGAAGATGAAAAGCACCCATACCGTCTCCTTCATCGACCACAGCATGGACCACTAACGGATAAACTTCTCTGTCCAGGTCAAAGCCAAGCTGAAGGGAAAGAAAAGAGAAGGAAAAAAAAGAGGACTCAACACGTGTAAAGGGCACAGTCATCCATCAGAAAAGGATATGTCAGGAGGGATTAACCCCTTCACTGCTCCTCCTTCATCAACCTCGTAACTACCTAAGTTCGTTTGATTGAAGACTACCAGCTACTTTTGAAAAATCTCCTAGATGTAAAGTCCTCTAACCTGCAGGTTCTTTTCTCTGAACATAACTTTCTCAAAATATCCTAGGCTAATGGGCTACTTTGGGATAGAAAAATTAACGAGGTTAGGTGTATCCTTTTAAGGGCATGAAGAAGTTACAAAACTGGAGGTGAGCGTGACCTTTGAGCACCTGGGCAGTCCCTTTGCTGCTGGCTAGGGTCCTAAGCAGCTCTCAGGACCTTCTGGGTCCACGTGAGGAAGCTGCCCCGCACTTTCTCCCAGCAACCTGTCACCTCCACCAGACGCAGCTCACCTCCTCCTCAGCCCACTCTGAGGGGTCCACAGTGTGCGAGGGCAGGCAGAACTGCTGGCACACGCCTCGCTTGTAGTGCACCGTCTCCGACTGTAGGCTGTTGTCTTTGGGGACGTAGCTATGGATCACAGTGGGGAGCAAAGCAAAAGTTAGTATCTAGCCCAGATGAGGTTGGGAATACTATTAAATTTATCTATTCAACACACACATCCACAGAAAGGTAGCTTAATGGATTTTTAACAGCATACTGATGACCTGAAGGGCTATGCTACCACCTGCCACTGTACGAAGACGGCACAATTTGAAGGGAAAAGGTGAAAAAGTCGGGCTCTGCAGAAGAAAACCCAAATTCAGGAACCAGATCTCACCGGGTTGTAGAAAAAGAATGTTTTCCTCCACAGGTGAGCACATCAGGCAAACCCTAACCTGTCTGGGAAGGAAGTGGCTCACCTGGTCTCTTGTTCTTACCTGGCAATACCATTCTGGAACTCTTCAGTGGCCTGATAATAGATGGTGATGGCCACACGAGCGTCCGTGTCAAAGGTGAACTCTACGTTGTAGTGGACTCTAGCTTTGCTGGCCTCTTCTCCAGGGGTCTTCACTTCCTCAGCACATCTAGAAAACCACAAACACTCAGCATTTTGGGAGTAGCAAATCAATATTTTGAAATTTATCTTTTATCTTTTTTTTACTTAATATATTGCAGGCTTCTCTCCATGATATGAACTTAGGCCACATCTTCATTCCGAATGATGGCAGAGAACTGCATTACCACCACTGTTGGCCATTTACGTTATTTCTGATACTTCAGTGTGCTACACTTAACATCCTTATGCGTTTGCCAGACTTTTGTTTTTGTTTTCAGTTTTATTTCAATCAAAGTTACTAACCACGTAGTTTAAATAGTTTCCACAAGGCTTGTCACAAAAATCAGCAGGCCACACTCCTTCCCTTTCCTCCTCTTCAGAGGAAACTGCCTTTACCTCTTTAGCTGAGCATTTTGGCATTTACCTGCATGTTTCTTTCTTTTTCTTTGTGAGGAAGATCAGCCCTGAGCTAACATCTGTTGCCAATCCTCCTCTTCTTGCTGAGGAAGACTGGCCCTGGGCTAACATCCATGCCCATCTTCCTCTACTTTATATGGGACACCGCCACAGCATGGCCTGACAAGCAGTGCATAGGTCCAGGCCCGGGATCTGAACATGCGAACCGAAGCAGAGCGCGCCAACGTAATCGCTACCCCACCGGGCCGGCCCCTGCCTTCATGTTTCTAAATAACATGCTCCGGTTACTACTTCCTGATTTTCAGTTTTAGGCATTATCTATTGATTTCCCACTTTGGAAATACGGATTCCTTTCTCTTTCCTCATGCTGCCCCATACAGGTACTCCCCCATCCCCCTAGTCTGTTGTAATATGGTTTTGTTAGTTTGGTCCATTAAGTGTCTATATTACTGTGATTATATCAACATTATTCACAGCTTAATCACACAGTAATCTATGATTATTTTTCTTTTCCTGCATAAGTTTTTCTTAGAGTTCGTGCTCACTTTGTTTATTTCAGTTACTTAGTTTTCTGTGTACTAGTCACGAATTCAAACCCAAGCCCTCTGCTGGCTGTCCCTAAATCCCTAGACGTTCAGATGCACCAGGTGTTCTATTTATTTCATCTTCTTGAGGAGGTCTCTTCTGGAGCCTCTGACCTGCTCCACCTGGACCCTGGACCCTCTGTATCTGCACACTGCCGCCATCTCGGCACCTCCCTCCCCATCACCCTGGTGAGTCTCTTTGGGCTCTCTTCTGGAGAATCGCATGTTTCCTGCATTTCCTGGCTTCCTCTTTCTCAGGTTACACTTTCATTTTAGTGGAACACAACTTCCCTAGCTTCCTGAAAAAGGGTGTGTTGGAGGGATAAAGTTCTCCAGAGATACTATTCTACACTCACACTTCATTGAAAGTCTGGCTGAGTAAAGAATTCTAGGTTATAAATACTTTTAAAAAGCCATTCCAGGGGCCTGGCGCAAGTGGTTAAGTGCGCCTGTTCCGCTGCGGTGGCCCTGGGTTCGCCGGTTAGGATCCCGGGCGCGCACCGACACACCGCTTGTCAAGCCATGCTGTGGCGGCATCCCATAGAAAGTAGAGGAAGATGGGCATGGATATTAGCCCAGGGCCAGTCTTCCTCAGCAAAAAAAGAGGAGGATTGGCAGATGTTAGCTCAGGGCCGATCTTCCTCACAAAAAACAAATGAAAAAGAGCCATGTCAGGGGCCTGCCCGGTGGCGTAGTGGTTAAGTGCGTGCACTCTGCTGCTGGCGGCCCGGGTTCGGATCCCGGGCGCGCAATGATGCTCTGCTTGTCAGGCCATGCTGTGGTGGTATCCCATATAAAGCGGAGGAAGACAGGCACAGATGTTAGCCCAGGGCCAGTCTTCCTCAGAAAAAGAAGAGGATTGGCATGGATGTTAGCTCAGGGCTGATCTTCCTCACAAAATAAATAAATAAATAAACTAATTATTAAAAAAAAAAAAAAAGCCATTCCAAAGCATTGCTGCATTATCTTTTAGCTTCCAGGGTCGCTCTCAAGAAGTAAGAAGCCATTCCAATTGCCGATCCTTTTTTCCTTTGATACAGAAGCTCCTCTTTATCATCCATTGTGCTGGGCACTCGGTGGTCCTTTCAATTTAGAAACTTTACATTATGTATGTCATTGATGATTTCCTTCCTTCTATATTCTCTGTTCTCTCTTTCTAAAACTTTTTTTTTTTTTGTAAGGGAGATCAGCCCTGAGCTAACATCCGTGCTAATCCTCCTCTTTTTGCTAAGGAAGACCGGCTCTGAGCTAACATCTACGGCCAATCCTCCTCCTTTTTTTTTTTTTCTTCCCCAAAGCCCCAGTAGGTAGTTGTATGTCATAGCTGCACATCCTTCTAGTTGCTGTATGTGGGACCCGGCCTCAGCATGGCCGGAGAAGCGGTGCGTCAGTGCGTGCCCAGGATCCGAACCCGGGCCGCCAGTAGCGGCGCGCGCACTTAATGGCTAAGCCACCGGGCCGGCCCTGTTCTCTCTTTCTAGAACCATTAGTTGGATGTTGGACCTTCTAAACTGGTGGTCTCTTCTTCGCATCTTTCCTCTTCTATTTTCCATCTCTCTGCCTTTTTGATCCACTTTCTACAATATTTCAACTTTTCTTCCTACATTCTATTGATTTTTTCATTTCTGCTACCATGTTTTAACTTCTAACAGCCTTTTTCTTCCCTGGATGCTCTGTGTCATTGCGTCCATGAAATAAGACAATATCTCCTCTGTGTCTCTGAGGCTGTAAATCAAGTTTTCCTCTTCCTGCATAGTTTTTATTTCCACTTATTTTTTTCCTGTTGTTTGTTTTGCCACGGTCTTTCATACTATAGGCGTTCCTTATACATCTAAGAATCTTTGGTTGTCTGTTCATATTTAAGAATTTTACAATCCCTGATGGAACTCTGAGTGCATAGTGGGGCTTGGGGATACCGGGCTTCCCTGGGGCTCATCTGGGTCTGCTGAGGAAGCTCCAATGCCAGTCTCTTTTTGTCTTTCCATCTGGACAGGTCTGATTCCCCAGAGAACAGTTTTCCTCTCTTCTGACAAAGGCCTGGCTGCCAGCATTCTGGGAGGTAGCATGGGGGGCCGGCTGGAGGAGGACTCAGCATCCCACACACCTAAATTCACTGAACCCCCTGGTTTTAGTACTGAGTCTAGCCCTTAGCTGTGCCTGGATCCCTCAAGTCCAGAGAGTCTCTGTTTGAACTTTTCCAGGGAGAATCACCTGCCAGCCTTTTGTCAGGTGTGGGGAGGCAGTTCTGGCTGTGTAGTATAAGGGAGGAGATCTGACTTCCTCGTAAGCAGACTTGCCACCAATCCTCCTCAGGTAAGCCTTCCACCCTGATGTCCAGAGGTACCTGGTACTGCCAGTGCCTGAGCCCTTTGTGGATATCACAGCACAAACAGGGTGATGCTCAGTCTTTCCTTCTGCTTGCTCAGGATTCTGATCTCTTGGGTCTACTTAGTTATTTAACATTCACCATCTGTTTCCAGCCTCTAAAATTTTGTTGCTGTTGCTCCTTTCCCATTCTCCCAATTCTTGTGGATTTATGCTTTCTAAAAATACTCTTGGGGCCGGCCCCATGGCTTAGCGGTTAAGTGCGTGCGCTCCACTACTGGCGGCCCGGGTTCGGATCCCGGGCGCGCACCGACACACTGCTTCTCCGGCCATGCTGAGGCCGCGTCCCACATGCAGCGGCTGGAGGGATGTGCAACTGTGACATACAACTGTCTACTGGGGCTTTGGGGAAAAAAAAAGGAGGAGGATTGGCAATAGATGTTAGCTCAGAGCTGGTCTTCCTCAGCAAAAAGAGGAGGATTAGCATGGATGTTAGCTCAGGGCTGATCTTCCTCACACACAAAAAATAATAATAAAATAAAATAAAAAATAAATTTAAAAAAACTTTAAAAATACTCTTATTATTACTTAGTGGGGTTTTGAGAGGAAGCAAAAGTAGATGTTCAATCTCCGTCTTTACCTGGAAATCTGAGAATCAAAATTGATTCCCATAATCTCAGAAAAACAAAACAAAAACACCCTTCACCTTAACATTTATTGAACACCAGCTGTTTTCCCTTCCATTATCTCATTTAATTTTGACAACAGCCGAGAAAGGTAAGGTTTATTATCACCATTTTACAGATGAGAAACTTGAAGCTCAGAGAGGTATTCAAGTAAGCATCCATGGAGCTGGGAAGCAAACTGGTCTTCTGCTTCCAAGCCAGATTCTCTTGGCACGTCACAGCTGCTTCATTCTATTTTAGAGCTGCAGCCAGGCTGCCACGTCAGAGGCTAGGACCTCACAATGGCTCAGGACCTTGACCCTGTCTCCATCAAACACGTGAGCAGGCCTCACTATGTGATGAGAGAAACAAGTGGACAGAGTAGCTGAGAGCTGGCAGGCTCCCGAGGCTTCATTAGCCTCAATCTATTCTGCTGCTGTAGGAATCCTCTGCAGAGGGTGAACACCCAGCTGCAGACTGTTCTGCAGCAAAAGAGTGCCCTTCTTGGCTCCCTCATCCCCAGAGTTGACCCAAGGGGTGGGGAGTAGTTGGGGAGCCAGTTGAAAACTTCAGGGACAAATGAAATATAAAAAATTGAGAGAGAGAGAGAGAGAGAGAGAAAATAGACCAGTGGCTGCTTAGGCCAGGAAGATGGGTTTTAGGGGAAATGGGGAGTGACCTCTAATGAGTATGGGGTTTCTTTTTGGGGTGATGAAAATGTCCTAAAATTAGGTAGTAGTGATGATTGAACAACTCTGAATAACTAAAAACCACCGATTTGTACACTTTAGATGAATGAATTGTAATTATATCTCAATAAAGGAGTTGTATTAAAAAAATGATCAGAGAGAAATAAACTTCCTAATGTTAGTAAGGCTGATCTATACAAGCATAAAACGGTCTCTGAGTCATCTAGCTTGTCCATCCAGAAAAATTAGGGACCTCTGATTTACCCTGACCAAATCTGTCTCCCCAGGGCACCAGTGAGCCTTAGCAGACGGACATGCTCTCTGGAGGGCAGCATCAGTTTAAAAAGTACGCTATCTCAGGGACAACACAAAGAAGGCAAATGTCGGTGATAATTTATATTGATGATGATGAAACAAACCCAGGGCACTCTGAGTTCCTCAGAGGAAGGGCATATGAAATTAAGAATAAATTAAAGACATAAATATAAGTAATAAAATAAGGATTTCATATCCCAAGTTTAGATATTCCATTTTTACATAGGCTTGTTGAGGTACCTGCAAAATTCACTTTTTCCCTCAATAATTCTTCTTTTTTAAAAAAATTCATAAAATAGGGATAATAATTTGGCTTCCCGGAGAGTCAGAGTTCTTCACAAACACAGACTATCCACATAAAGTTCTTTTTTTTTTTTTAAAGATTTTATTTATTTTATTTTTTCCCCCCAAAGCCCCAGTGGATAGTTGTATGTCGTAGCTGCACATCCTTCTAGTTGCTGCATGTGGGACTCGGCCCCAGGATGAACGGAGAAGCGGCGCCTCGATGCGCACCCGGGATCCGAACCCGGGCCACCAGCATCGCAGCGCGCGCACTTAACCACCAAGCCACAGGGCTGGCCCCACATAAAGTTCTGAACAATCTAGATGGGGGGAGACCTAATCTACGTAGACGAGGTGCTGCCGTCAGCACCAGAGCAGCTCCTGTCCTGGAGGCCTGGAGACTCGGGCTCGGGGTCTGGCAGAAACTGCTCTGTGAGTCTCTCTGGGAAGTTGACTGCCCCTGCAGTAGGAGGGCATCTGGCACTGGCCCAGCCCAGCCAGGGACTTACTTGACGAGTCTCAGCGTGTCCTTTCGGATGTTGATCAGGCTTCTCAGAGTCTTCACTGGTTCTTGGGGAGGTGGGGCAGCATAAGGAAACTGTGTCAAAAACAAAGCGGGAGAAGACAATGTGTTTATAAAGACCCACGACTGTCCCTCACTGGTCACAGCCTTTCCAGGTGAGGTGGGAAGGCGCCACTCTCCTAAGTGAGGACTCGGAGACCCAACACACTAAGTGAACTTGCTCAAGGTCGCAGCTAGTGGTAGAACTGGGATTCGATTTGGCGTCAAAAGAGCTAGATTTATCTGCTTTTTCCATTCTATGAAGCTTATTTGAGTCAGCATTCAAAATAGGGAGAACTAATAAAAACTCCTACTGAAGTTCCAAATACCAAAGGACACACTGCCGCCGAGTTAATCACAAAAGGCTTTTCCATCTGACCTCAGACAACAGGGAGCCAGACCTGCCAGGTTTTTCCTTTAGTGAAGCCACATGGTGTCTTAGGAATTCAGGAACTGCAAATAAAACAGAACCCCATCATGTGTACAGAGCTGGGCTGCAAACAGTGAAGAACAAACGTTCCTTGCAGCTGATCATATAAAGCTGAGTTTTTAAAAATGTGAGCCAAGGGCTCTTTTGGGGTTATCAAAAATTTGTGGTTGTCTGTCATTTACCTGACATTTCCATGCTCTTTCCCATTGAGACCTCTGATTTGGAGTTCTGAGTTGATGATAATGAGGAGATAAGAAGGGGAAACAGTAAAAAATTTAATTGGGAATTGCTTTCAGAAGAGTAAGAATGATTTAAAGTGTTCCCAGTATTGTTCTAATGTTATTTGGGGAATAAACATTTTTTACATATAATCCACAGAAAACCTACTAGTCTTTGTAGCTTTGCCAAACTGTGGTACTCCGAGCTCTAGAAGAGTCCACCTCTTGGTGCTGGGATCAGGAAACAGGACACCACGTTATACTCTACCTATGCCTTCACAGATTTTTGCTGAATGTGGTTCTTTTACTTGGGAAACATAATTTAACCCAGAGTACATCTGCTTTTATGTATTCAGTGTGATTGCTGATAATTCACGTGTATGGATGTGATACCTAAGAAAATACATTCAACCTAAATTATGTGCATTCAGATTACCCACTTTGTGGGTATTATATAGCAACATTTTACTTTTTCATTGATACCTTAAACATATATCCTTTTAAAATATATGATAGTTGGTTTTTCTAATTGCAAAGCAATACATGTTCAAGCAGAAAACTTGAAAAACACAAAAAAATACTAAATCAGCCATAATCTCACCACTCAGTGATATCAAAGTTAACACTGCAGAATGTGTCTTTCCAGATAGGCACCCATCCATCCATCCATCCATCTACCTACCTCCCTCTATATCTGTACAAACCGTCCATACTGTTTTATAGTCTCCTTTTCACATAGAAGGACGTGATAACATTTTTAAAGTCTATAATTTGACAACATGACTACACACGTTAGAAATAGCATAATTTATTTAACCAATTCCATATTACTCAATGTTTTATGTTGGTTTTACTTTTGTGTGTGTGTGTGTGATATAAATGTTGTAGTGAATGCCCTATCCCTCATTTCTGCATGCTTTTTTGATTATTTCCTTAGGACAAATTCCTAGAAGTGGAATTACTAGATCAAAGAGTAAGCATATTTTTAAGACTTTTAAAAATATTTTGCCAAATTGTCCTCCAGAAAGCTGACTCCAATTTTGCTCTCCTACTAGCAGCGTATCAGGGGGCTTTTATATAGGAAAGCTGGAATTCTAGTTCAGACCCCATCTGTGGCCCATTCTCCACCCCCACTTTTCTAGGCTGTCACACTAAAGGAATTTAAAACAATTTTAAAATAAGCTTAAGCAAAAAGTAATTAGGCAGGAAAATCCGACACAAATGCTAGTCTATTCTAAAGCCAAAATAAATGACTTTGGGATTAAAATTTTTTTCTGGAGTAGCAAAGTTAATCATATTCATTTGCACAGGTACTTGGGAATTATCCATAACTCCTACCTGAGTTAAAAAAAGATGGGTTCTTCCTTTACTTTTTGCCCTTTCTCCTCCATACTCGCCAGAAAAGAAAAACAAAAGGAAAGGAAAAAAAAAAAAAAACCCTAGTGTTCCTCATCTTCCATTTTGAATATTATATTCGACAATAACTGACACTGAAGCACAACTTATTCAGCTCTCAAGGAAAAGTATCAGTGGAATCAATTGTTTTTTGTAGGAACTGTATAGTATAACAAATCCACTCCTATATTTTTGGCTCTCTCCCTCCTCTCTAAGAAAAGAAAAGAAAACAATTTAAAATCTGTTTAGGAGAACCTAATCCTTTCTGGGCTCCTACCTACCAAAGCTTCCGTCTTGGTGGCCTTTCATTCATCCAATCAGAGTAGGCAACACTCAGTGGGGGTCGTAAGGAGAGACTTCAAGTGGAAAGAAGGTCCTGCTCTTTCAGGAAGCAGCCTTATAAGGCAGATGACATAGTTACACAAATAACACAAAGAGAAATGCCACAAAAAGGGCAAATATAAAGGACATGATCACTTCTGGCTGAGGTAATCTGGAAGGCTTCATGGAGGAGGTGTATTTGATCTGGGATCTTGAAGGATAGATGTAACTTGTAAATTCAGAGATGAGAGGAAGACAGAGGGAACAGCAGAAACAGAAGCAAATTGAAGAAAATATTGCTCTGCTCCTAGAGTCATCTCCCCTTCCTCTCTAAACCAGTTTAGCCCATCATGACTCAAAGCTTCTTTGTTGGGGCCGGCCCGGTGGCGCAAGCGGTTAAGTGTGCGCGCTCCACTGCTGGCGGCCTGGGGTTCGCTGGTTCGGATCCCGGGTGCGCACCGACGCACTGCTTGGCAAGCCATGCTGTGGCGGCGTCCCATATAGAGTGGAGGAAGATGGGCACAGATGTTAGCCCAGGGCCGTCTTCCTCAGCAAAAAAAGAGGAGGATTGGCAGATGTTAGCACAGGGCTGATCTCCTCACAAAAAAAAAAAAAAAAAAAGCTTCTTTGTGATCTTCACTTTTAAAATATCATTTACTGAGTGCTTACTATGTGCCAGGCACTGTGCTAAGGGTAAGCTCTTTACATACATCACCTTAGTTATCCTTGGAACAATCCTGTGAGACAGAGATGGCTGTTCCTTTTTGTAGATAAGGAAGTTGAGGTATTAAGAGGTTCAATAACTTCCTCACAGTCCCATAAGTTTTAGGGAGCAGAGTTGAGGTTTGAACATAGTCTACCTCCATCTTTCCCTAAGATGCTCCTGGATATAGCTCCTTAATCTAGAGATGATTAAAGCATTAAAATACTAGTTATTAAAACGTCTGAAAACACAACCCTACGTCTTTGCTCATTCTTTTTTCTTATCAAGACACTGATGAATTTTTTTGCTTGGCTACAGTATCTCCTTAATACATGAACCATTACTGAGTTATACTTAAAGCAAAAAAAGTATCTTATTTCAACTCAAAACCAGAGATTTCATTGATATGCCAACAGGTAAGTGTGACACGAAAGCAAAGGAACGTCTTCTTAGGACTGAGGGAAACGAAGCTCAGGACAGACTCAGGTTCAAGCACTTCCCTGAAGTAGCCACTGCCCCAGTCCACAGTGCTCAGAACAACATCAACAACTGTTTTCTCTGGGCCGGCCCCCGTGGCTTAGCGGTTAAGTGCGCGCGCTCCGCTACTGGTGACCCGGGTTTGGATCCCGGGCGCACACCGATGCACCGCTTCTCCTGCTATGCTGAGGCCGCGTCCCACATACAGAAACTAGAAGGATGTGCAACTATGACATACAACCATCTACTGGGCCTTTGGGGAAAAAAAAAGGAGGATTGGCAATAGATGTTAGCTCAGGGCCAGTCTTCCTCAGCAAAAAGAGGAGGATTAGCATGGATGTTAGCTCAGGGCTGATCTTCCTGACAAAAAAAAAAAAAACAAAACTTTTCTCAGTTCACATCCACAGAGTTTCTACTTGCTTTCCTGGAACCGTAATTTTCTCAGCCCTCTGCCTACTGAGTTAGGGAATGAGTGGTGACAGGGAAGACCAGAGTCTTTTCTCTTGGATGCAAGCACCCTGCCACAACTAGGCCAGTAAAAGGGAAGAAGTGGCTTTTCTATCCTGTATACAACATGCCACCAGGCCCACAGATGGAGGAAGACGGCCAAGCCTTCTGCAAGGCATATCCTGACTTCTTGCCTCAAGCTCAATATGGCTCGTGGAATGCCTTCCCAGCCCCCAGATATCATTCTGGAGTAAATAAACTCTTAACAGCCTTATGAGGGATACCTAAATGCAGCTTCTAGAATTCTATTTCACTTTTCATAATGAAGAGAGGCTTTAGGTAAAGACTAGTGGACAAAGAATGAAATTTGGTCTGCTCACATACTTAGGGACCAAACCTTACAGGTCAGTACCTTTATGACAGAGAACTAAGGCTCAGGTTCCTCCAATCTATTCATCTAACCAGAAAACGCTGCCAAAAGAAAGCCCTCTCAATGGGGTAGAATTTGGGTAACTGTTGCAATTACAGCCTGGCCAATGCCCATTCATGGAAAAAGAAAACTAAGGGAAACGTTTACTGAGTACACACTGTGTGCCAGGCATCATGCTGGGTTCTTTAGATATGTATTTTTTCATTTTACTTTATTTAATTATGGTAAAATACACATAACACAAAATTCATCACCTTAACCATTTTTAAACACACACAGTTGGGTGGCATTAAGTACATTCATTCACATGTCGAGCGCCCATCACCACCATCTAGCTCCAGTTTAGATACATTCTTATTTAATATTCTCATCAATAACAGATGTCTCTGCCACGCCCATCAGATCGTAAGCTCCTGGAGGACAGTCTGACACCCAGGGGGAACTCAAAATATGTAGGTTAACTGAATAAAAGAAGAATGTCAGTATTAACATGCCCATTTTCCAGATGAAGGAACTGAGACTCAAAAGGTTCATGTAATTATTGAAGGTCCCAGGGCTAATGAGTAGCAGAACCAGCATCTGAACTCAGAACCAGGATTTGAATCCAAAACCCAC